CAGAAAACTTTTTGTATCACAACACATTTTCAAATGTAACCAGGGTAAGTTTAATATCATGCCGATATATCAAACAGACAATTACTCGTATCTACAAATACAGGAAAAAAACTTTATAGACAAATTCAAACCCGAACTGAATAGATCGTAACCCGCCCCCCACAAAAAAAAAAAAAAAAAAAAAACATGCACACAGGGTGACCAAATACAATGATCGCTCACATACATGGACGCACACTCATATACGGGAGACACGAGGAGATATATATATGTATGTACACATACATACATTTATGTATGTATATGCGGATGTTGACAACTTAAAGAAGTGTGTGTGTGTGTGTGTGTGTGTGTGTGTGTGTGTGTGTGTGTGTGTGTGTGTGTGTGTGTGTGTGTGTGTGTACTGGTTCCATGTAGCTTGGGAAATATGTGTGTATATGTGTGTGTACTGACTACTTGTGGTGGGATAGTGTGTATGTGCGTATGTGTGTGTATGCGTGTATAAGTACAAATAAGTTTACGAATTCCTCGTAGTAAGGAAATATACGCACGCATATATACACGCATGCTGACAGGAACACGCCAAAATAGAAACAGATCCAAGAGCACATAGAGGTCACTAAAACATTAAAAGATTAAATGCCGATAACTACTCGCTGGACAAACCTTAATTGTTTTATGACCCTTCACGCAGAACTCTTCATTGACAATTCTAGAAAGAAAATTCGGATTGCCAACACACAAACAGAATGTCTCATATCGAGAATATTCCACATTGAACATGAAGAAAAATTAATTATTTTTAATAATATGTAAAAATCTCCACTTTCACCTGAAGACGGTTGCGAGACCAGACCAGAAACACGTGTCGTGAAATTATATAAAACAAAGTATAATATTTTTTCTCAATAAATCCACATTACAACCAAAAACGTTTGCGGCACCCCTCTTCTTTTTAATATACATACTTTTCTCTCGTTGGAACCACTACAACATATTTCTTTTATATATATAACGCCGAAAGTCATTTTGCTGACTTCGCTCTGTGTTTCACCCTCGCTAGATAGGCTTCCTCAGGTCAGAACAAAAGAAATTCTTCGTAGACGATGCGACTTTCTTTTTGATAAGATTTTATTTTGATGAAGTTCCATTCCAATTTTTCCCGCCTTGTTGAAAATTGTTTTTTATATTCACCCAGCTTTTCTGCAAGGAATTTAATGTGTATCCTTCTCCATTTCTGTCAGAATGTGTTGAAAGCAAAAGATTCTTGTATTTTCTCATTAAATATGTTTGTCTTTGCGTTTTCCATGTCGACAGGATGTGTGTCAGTAGCTTTAGAGAAAATGAACACAAAAATGACATTTTTACTTAAAATCAGAAAATGACAAAAGTTGAAAATTCTAGGGAACATAATGAGGAAAGAAGACTTGGAAAATTTTATACTCACATGACAGATTCAAAGCAAGAGTTGCAGAGGAAAACAAAAAGACAACATTTATTAAGAGCCACTAAGGACAGGAAATTGTGGAGAGCCATAATCGCCAACACTCTGAAGAGACAAGGGATATAGAAGAAGAATTATAATAAAGTATTGGTTTGCCACTATCGACGATAGCGGCGGATAATGTAGCTTTTATTTAATTTTGTCAATTTGGACAATGTCTTTAATCCCGTCGCTTGCACGTTTAACGTTTATATTGACGAAGTTACGTCGAAATTGTATTATTTTATACGCTACAGAATCATATAATTTAAACAGAATATATATACTATTGTCCAAAATAAAAGTGTAGGTTGGAAAATAATTCGTTGTTGGAATAAAAATGAAAAGACAGATAGGCTGGAAAAAAAGTGAAACCTAAAATAAACGCGCGTGGAGGAATGTGGTATAACATCGAGTCTTTTAGGCACCGGACACTTTCAACAACTTGGGAGATCAAGGGTTTCCACAATTTTCTGTCTATTGAAGCTCTTAGTAAATTTTTTTTCTTTTTGCTATCTCTCCTAAACCCAGTTCTGCCAACCATTTACCCAAGTTCGTTCGATATGTTACGCGCATTTTTCCTCTCTTCTCTCTCTTGCCTTCAATATATCTTGTGAGTGTCAAATTTTCCAAGCCCTCTTTCCCGATTGTGTGCCTTGGAAATATCAACTTTCTCTTTCTAATGCTATTTTGTGATTGTCCTTATTGTTTCCATTTTCTCTAAAACTTCGTCGTTGCTCATTTCATTGTATTTAGTCTATGGTATTCTCAGCATCCTTCTGTAGAATTACGTTTTTGTTGCCTCAAGTCTATTCTTTATCTGTGATGAGATTGCCTAGCATTCGCAGCCATATAGGAGGAATGATATTACATAAAAGTTCAGAACTCGTTGTTCCTAACGAATTTTTTCTCTTTTTTAATACTTTGCTTAGCTTTTGGAAAGCATCTTTCGGTTGTCGACTCGGAGTTTCGTGATTACTCACTTGTCAGGACACCCAGACAAAAATGGTTTATATTTGTTATAGAATATAGATTTTTATTATGTTCTCTATTTATTATAGATTATATAGTTTTATATGTAATAAGTGTTTATAAATTAATAAAATTCAGTAATGCATTAGTAATTAATAAATACTAGCAGCATAGCCCGGCGTTGCCCGTGCTTGATTCAAAAATCATACTACCCATACAGCAATCGCTATCACTTGACTTAAAATATTTTTGCCCTTCCTTGCCTTTAAAGGAGTGCCCTTTGCCGTGCTGATGTTGCTACATGCCTTACTTCTTGCCTATCTCACACTGCGATTTTTTTCTAAAATCTATACTAAACATTAAATCTGTTATGAAAAAAGAACTAAACAAAATGAACACAAAACGATCAGCTTTAAAAAAAAGACTCGTAACTGGAAAAACCGAATGAAAAAAGAATGTTAACAACAAATACTTTTTCACATTCAACCCAGTTCTGCGGAATCAGAATCAACGTTGAGTTTAAGCAAGCGAATGAGCCAATTGGAGTAAAGTGCTATGCAGATTTAAATTTTTCCCACTTGTGACGAATGCAGCTATCGATTTTTTTTGCATGCTAGTTAACATTCGTGTCAGTCAGCTGTTGGCTCTCACGCTGGCCAATAGAATCTTCCTGCCTATTCGTGACAGCCATCTATAGGCTCTCACTCTGGCCGCAAACTACATGAAAACTGCCGTAGAAACATGAACAAATCGATTATTTCCACTATCGATGGGAGTTGGGAAATGCAAAGTCGGTCTTGGCCTTCCCGCTAACTTGGAGCATGTGCATGTAAATTTTGGTCCAAATCCGTCGAAAATTGCGGCTGTACATTTGTTACACACACATCCTGCCTTTTATAGATAGAGATATATATTCCGTAATTGTTATCTAAGTCCTGACGAGTGAGGAAACACAAGTGGACCTCCGCTAAGTATTGTGAACTTCAATTACTTCTGATATACATATTTTACTAAAATCGAATTGTTGAACATTGTGCTTGAAGTTGTGGATAAACTGTCCGATGTTCACATTTTGTTATTGTTTGTACAAATACTTTCAACTTTCGCAGTCATTATAATGAATCGATGTGGTATCTTTTTTTATTATTATTTCGGTGTGGAGAAGCCAGATTTTGCATTCGCTAGTGTAATTACTCTCTCGATGAATAAGTGTCGAAATTTATCCTTGTTCGCTTCAGGGTCGTACAATTAGGTATTTTTATTCAGCAGGTTTTTTTTTTATCTATACGAGTTTAATTAAAAAGAACCAACAAGGTATGTCTGTTTACCGCATTGGTTCTTGATAATGACTGCGATGGTCAAAATTACTTGAACAAACAATAACAAAATATGAACTTCGGACAGTTTATCCACAACTTCGACCACAATACGTATATATACAGAGGTATTCAAGAAGAAAGAACAGATTTCGAAAATTTAATAAAAAAAATGCTAAGAAAAAGAAACACATTCAACACATTACTGAATAGGGAAATGTTCAAAGTTTATTATTTTCGGGTTGTTTAACTTGTATGTACTCAACATGAGCATCATGTATTGCGCAACAAGCATCGAAACGGTATTCCACACTTGCCACATTGGAATCAATTGTATCTGGATATTGACTTCACAGCTTCAACAATTCGATGTCTCAAATCATCAAGAGTGGCAGGCATAGGAAAAAAACGCTCTTTCTTTTATATACCCCCACAGATAAAAAGTTGCATGTGGTAAGATCTGATGATCTGGAAGGCCACAGACGATGAACAAGATCCTCTTTTCCATAAATTATAATGATTTAAATTTATACAAAATCTGAAAAAAAAGGAATAGTTTCCTGTCTCTTAATCGAAAGGTCAGTTAGTTATGAGCCATGAATGATACATGCTTAAGCGGTTCATGTGTCTTTCAATACATGACTGACGAGGCAGATTTTTTCCCGCAGTAGGTAGCTATCCAAGGTTATAGAACCTGGTCAGTCCTGCTATTTACTCAGAGCTCTAAGAAGAGGATTCATACCTTTCCCAAGGGTATTTGCGCTTAAGTGAATGTAATGGATTCGACTGGAATTCGAACTCAGCTATCCGATTCCTCAATCCGAGCCGCTATCCATTGCACTACCGAGCCTCGAAAAGTAAAGACGCGAATTAGGGAAATCAAAATGAAAAGAATATGCAAAAGAGTTCGTTTGTTGATGTTTGCGGTTGTGCATGATAACTAATTTCTGTTGTATCACAATTGATCAATACATTTCTGCTCTATTGAGACTAGTAGTTTTCCACATTTCAAATATTCAACAAGCTTTACCCCAAATCAGAGCTGAATACGACTGGTTGAACATTACTTCCTCCGATTTTATTTTATTACAGAGTCTTCCTTTTATTTCATTACATATCCTTCCTTTTATTTAATTACAGATCCTTCCTTTTATTTCATTTCAAATCCTTCCTTTTATTTAATTACAGATCCTTCCTTTTTTTCATTTCAAATTTCCTTTATTTAAAAGATCCTTCCTTTTATTTCATTTCAAATCCTTCCTTTTATTTCATTTCAAATCCTTCCTTTTATTTTATTACAGATCCTTCCTTTTATTTCATTTCAAATCCTTCCTTTTATTTAATTACAGATCCTTCCTTTTATTTCATTTCAAATCCTTCTTTTATTTTATTACAGATCCTTCCTTTTATTTCATTTCAAATCCTTCCTTTTATTTAATTACAGATCCTTCCTTTTATTTCATTATATATCCTTCCTTTTATTTTATTACAGATCCTTCCTTTTATTTCATTATATATCCTTCCTTTTATTTTATTACAGATCCTTCCTTTTATTTCATTTCAAATCCTTCCTTTTATTTCATTACAGATCCTTCCTTTTATTTCATTTCAAATCCTTCCTTTTATTTTATTACAGATCCTTCCTTTTATTTCATTTCAAATCCTTCCTTTTATTTAATTACAGATCCTTCCTTTTATTTCATTATATATCCTTCCTTTTATTTAATTACAGATCCTTTCTTTTTATTTCATTATAAATCCTTCCTTTTCTTTTATTACAGATCCTTCCTTTTATTTCATTATATATCCTTCCTTTTATTTTATTACAGATCCTTCCTTTTATTTCATTTCAAATCCTTCCTTTTATTTTATTACAGATCCTTCCTTTTATTTCATTTCAAATCCTTCCTTTTATTTCATTACAGATCCTTCCTTTTATTTCATTATATATCCTTCCTTTTATTTAATTACAGATCCTTCCTTTTATTTCATTTCAAATCCTTCCTTTTATTTAATTACAGATCCTTCCTTTTATTTCATTTCAAATCCTTCCTTTTATTTAATTACAGATGCTTCCTTTTATTTCATTATATATCCTTCCTTTTATTTTATTACAGATCCTTCCTTTTATTTCATTATATATCCTTCCTTTTATTTCATTACAGATCTTTCCTTTTATTTCATTTCAAATCCTTCCTTTTATTTCATTACAGATCCTTCCTTTTATTTCATTTAAATCCTTCCTTTTATTTCATTACAGATCCTTCCTTTTATTTCATTATATATCCTTCCTTTTATTTTATTACAGATCCTTTCTTTTATTTCATTTCAAATCCTTCCTTTTATTTCATTACAGACACTTCCTTTTAATTCATTACCGACCCTTCCTTTTATTTCATTACAGATCCTTCCTTTTATTTAATTAAAAATCCTTCCTTTTTTCATTACAGACCCTACCTTTTATTTCATTACAGATCCTTCCTTTCATTCCTTTACAGATCCTTCCTTTCATTCCATTACAGCTCTTTTCTTTGACTTCCTTACATATCCTTCCTTTGATTTTGTTAATTTGTTTTCATTATTCGAAGTTCTTAAAACAGTGACGAAATATTCACTGTCAAACACAGTTTATTAACGGCATGTGCGCTATTTGAAGACATTACAAAGAAACCATCATAAGTTGATTTTAAGGTCATCCGATTTCATAACAAAGTATTCACAAACAACCGCTGGATTTTATTTTGTGTGACATTCTAAAAACTCTGAAAAACATCAGCATTTAAAAGGTTGAAAGTTTGGACATTGATTTTTTAACATTTAATCATTGTTGGAAAAGAGACACTACCCGTGTGGCACGCTCTCCTAATATGCAAATAGCTAGAAATATAGATAATTAGGAACAGACTCAGAAAGCAAAAATTTATGCATATAGATATTTTTTATATTATGCGCAAATGAAAAGGTGTGCATGGTAATAAAATGATCATTATAAAGAGCTTTGGATAATTTATTGTTATGAAGATCATTATGATTGATGTTATAAATCATTATAATTATAGACTGTGATCATTATAATAATAGATCAGTATGACTGTGATCATTATAATAATAGATCAGTATGAGTGTGATCATTATAATGATAGATCATTATCTGCGATTTCTTTATAATTGAACATTAGTGTCAATAATGCAAATGAAAAGCAGCTACTATTCATTTCATTCAGTGGGCTCATTTTTGTGGTCATCATTCACCGCCATCTTACAATTGTAACATTCAAGGCAGAAAAATGCAATAGCTTACAATAACCTGCCGGTTCATTTTTCACTGGGGATGATGAGGTTACTCCGTCCTTTCTCTCAGTGATGTATTTGTGTTTGAAGTTACCTTCGTCTAGCTTCTGACTAAAGAAGCAGAACCTACAAGGCCCACAGGTGATTTGAATCCAAAGTTTCCTTTTCCTAGCCTGGTCGTCAGCCAACATTATAGGACCCACTCCGTTCTTCTATTTTACCCATAGCTGGGGGAGAAGAGATGGATTCATATATTTTCCAAGGGTATTAGCGCGTAAGTGAATATAATGAACTCGACTCGAGTTCAAACTCGGTTCTCCGATTCCTCAACCCAAGGTAGTAACCATTACTCCATCGTGCCTAAAGTTATAACTAGCGGGATAATATCTAAATTAAAAAAATTCATTCAATGTTCAATAAACTCCAGTTCATCGGACTATTATGAGCGTTTTTAATATTTATTGATTTTTAATAAAATATCATTATAAATAGGGTTTTCAACTAAAATACGACAGATGACTTGTCACAAAGTGAATAATATTTTTTGTAAATAATTTCCATCGTCTCCATTTCCATTTTTAATGTCATCATTACGAATATTTATTCTTTTTATTATCTAACGACTGCCATGACTTTTTGAGAACGGCTTTTTCCGTTGCCTTCTACAGAGTTTTGAATTCAGTTTTCATTTCTTAAACTGCTTACCATCTAAATATCCTAAACCAAAACTTTACACTCGCTACATCGACAACATGTGAGTTGATAAGTGTACTGGGCACGGTGGGTAAATTGTCGCCATATTATTATTTAAATTTCGCGCATGTGCGTTGTTTGTTTTTGATTTTGCCGACTGCACTGTATAGTAGGGTCAGTTGGGCATCGTCTGTAAAAAAAAGAGCACTGATGTTAACGCAATTTACTCCCTCAGAAATTTGCAGACGACATGCTGTACTGCTTGGCATTCGAGCCGGGAGCTCCAATACCAACATTACAAAGTGTTTAGGTGTCAATCTGAGGATAGTGCAGAGAATTCGAAAAGAGCTGGATGAGTCTAATGGTGATTACGATAGTACGACATCTCGGAAAATTCACTCTGATCGTTCTGATAAGAAGAGAACTTCCGAATTTGTGGTGTCTCAACACGGAGGCCTACATCAAGTACCTTGAGGAGGTAGTGCCGCCCTGGGTCAAGAGGGTGGCTACTGGAAACCCTATGTCTGGAAATAGGACTCTGCACCATGGCACCCAAGCAATAGAACCCAGTCATGGCTGTCAGACAATTTCTGCGACCACATCACACCTTACATCTAGCCACCTAACTCCCCAGACTGCAACCCCTTTGATTATTATTTTTGGGGCACAGTTGAGCGAGAGACCAACAAAACTCCTTATAACACCAAAGATGAACAGAAGGCAAGGATTATAGCATCATTCACCAACTTAAACAAGAAGACCGTCCAAAAGAGTTGCAGGAGATTCCGAAGTCGCCTGGAGACCGTGGCTGAAGCCAATTTTATTTTATTAAATAAATTTACTCTTTATTATTTCAAGATATTTTTGTGTAATTTTGGTCAGTATATCTGTATAAATGAGATATCAGTGTTATTTTAATTGCGTAATTTAGAAGAAAAATTATCGCATCCTGTAGTTGTTATTGAAGAGCAAAGAGAAACCACCAAATCAAGTCCATGTCCATATGTGGACTTGAAATGTGTCCAAGACTTCTGGAACACTCTGTATATCTATATCTATAAATATCCAATTGTTTATCCAATTTTTATTAACTCTTCCAAATTTCCGAATTAGTTGTTTTATGTAATCGATAAATTTACTAAAGTTCATATTGATTTGTATTTTATTTTTTCGTGAGTATATTCGAATGTTGATATATTCGTTTTCAAGGATTGTGTTTACGTAACTGTTTCTGGTTAATTCCGGCGTTCTCAAGTCGGAACCAATTTCAAGTCCCTCGGGTTGATGGCATTTAAACTGTCAGATTAGAAATTTTATGTGTATTTTTTTATACAGACTTCAATACATGGAGAAAGACCACAGAGAATGCAACATCCAAAAGTAAAAAATAAATGTAAAACTTCGTAAGTCAAGATTACATAAAACAATCCATTTCGAAATTGGAAAAAGCTAATAAAAAATTAAGAAGCAGCACTTGTTTATATTATTCAACCGAACATGTTTGAAAGAATACTTGCTGACAAAATATACCTTATTTAAATCTAGATATATATGTATATGTGTGTCTGTGTGTGCCTGTGTAAGGATATAAAAATGTAAGTATGCTTGAAAAGCTAAATAAAAAATTAATTAAATTTTCCTTGCCTATCATATTCAACGAAACTTGTTTAATAAAAATGTTGCTGCTCAAATATATATATATATATATCTATAAAAGGCAGTGTGTGTGTGTGTGTGTGTGTGTGTGTGTGTGTGTGTGTAAAACGAATGCACGGCCGCAATTTTCGACGGATTTGCACCAAAATTTACATGCACATGATCCAAGTTAGGGGAAAGGCTAATGGAAATAATCGATTTTTTCATGCTTCTACGGCAGTTTTCATGTAGTTTGCGGCCATTTTATACTGGCCAGCGTGAGAGCCAACAGCTGACTAGACACGAATTCTTAACTAGCATGCTGAGCATGCAAAAAAATCGATAGCTGCATTCGTCACAAGTGGGAAAAATTTAAATCTGCATGGCACTTTACTCCAATTGGCACATTCGCTTGCTTAAACTCAACGTTGATTCTGATTCCGCAGAACTGGGTTGGATGTGAAATAGTATTTGTTGTTAACATTCATTTTCATTCGTTTTTCCAGTTACGAATCCTTTTTTTTTAAAGCTGATCGTTTTGTGTTCATTTTGTTTAGTTCTTTTTCGTAACAGATTTAATGTTTAGTATAGAGTTTAGAAAAATTCGCAGTGTGAGATAGGCAAGAAGTAAGGCGTGTAGCAACATCAGCACGGAAAATGGCACTCCTTTAAAGGCAAGGAAGGGCAAAAATATTTTAAGTCAAGTGATAGCGATTGGTGTATGAGTCGTACGATTTTTTAATCAAGTACGGGCAACGCCGGGCCATGCTGTTAGTTAACATATATATATATATATATATATATGTGTGTGTGTGTGTGTGTGTGTGTGTGTGTGTGTGTTTTAGTATCGAACATTTTTACACCTTATTCCCAGTGTCCCCAATCAAATACACCACATTAAAACCTCGCCACTAGGTAGAGTTTTAGGAGTGCTAATCAGCAATAGACCATCTGCAATTAATATATCTACTTACAGAAAAAAATTGAAAATATAAAAGAAAACTTTTCTTTAGCTTCGCTTGACAATGAAAGGGTATTTGATTCCGTAAAATGCGCGGGTCTTTAACTCACTACGTGAACATAGGCTAAAAATGATACTATATTAAGATTATTGAGGATATATACAATAACAGAACATCAATAAATTTGAATACACAAAGATAGATAAAATAAAGTTTAGAAAGGGTGAGAGGAAAGGAGATAACGATTTTGCCTACACTAATGACAGCAGGTCTTTAAAATATCCTAACGATAATGAAGAGATGGGATTAAGCATAAGTGAAGAATATAGAAATCATTCACGATTTACTGACGATATTTTACAAATATATAATAAAGAATATATTTACTTAGAAAAGGTAATAAAATAGCAGAAATTAAATAAAACTACATATAACGAAAATAACGAAATAATAGAAATAAATATGCCAGTATGCAAAACATAATTTACGAATAATTATAATAATTTGTAGCTTTGAGGTGCAAAACAGACATTTAGAAAATAGCTTCAAAACAATCTTTAAAATGCGACGGAAATGGCAATTTTTGAGAAAACTCTGAGAGAGAAAATGGCCAATATAGACCAGAGAATAGACGAAGGCAAGGGATATCGTAGAAGTGATTAAACGACAAAAATAAAGAAAGAAGAAACGATAACAGATGGAGCCATAGGTGACCTGTTTCGTGTCCAAAACGTAGCAAACGCAAGAGAAAAAGCCCAGATTGATGGAAAGACAAACTATAAAGTTGTG